AAAAAAATTATTAACATAAATAAATAAATGTAAATGATTTTTTAAATCGTTCAGAAACCCGTGATCACCCTCTGTAAATAAAAACAAAAAAGAAAAAAAAAAATTGTATGCAAAATCCTATTATATAGTAATATCACAGAAATATTTATTGCGTCATAATCATGTGATTTTCACTGGGTAAATCGACTTGCCAGTTTTATTATTAAGGTTATTATTAGGATTAGTTAAGGGAGTTAGGAAATTTAATTGTCACCATTATATATGTCATCCCTAATAAGTATATGTGACCCAGCACAATAAATCTTTTTCAGGTAAAAAATGCGATGAATGTAATCGGTATAGTATTTTAAATGTAACATCAGGAATGTTTCAAAGCATTATATCATCTGACAATAACAAAGTATAAACGTGATTATTCTATTCATTGGATGATAACAGTTTGATTTCATTTCTTTTGTTGTTTTGTTGAAGTGAAATAAGTTGATCTAATTAAATCCGCTTTATGATGGTTAGGCTTCAAAATTCTCTCAGTGTGAAAAGTATTGCTAAATGGACCTGAATCCTTATTAAGACATGATAGTGCTTCAGCCTTGCGAACAATGTTTTCCTAATATTTCAAGTTGTTAATAAATATCCATCAACAATATTTCTTTCTCTTACCTTAAAAAAATAGAATAGTTCTAAAGTTTGCTTCAGAACAGTAGTATCATTAATTTGAGTAGGAAACCTTAATATTGGTCCTTCAAACCTGAAATACAATCCCTCATCTAATAAGTCGATACCAATTATTTGACCATGTAAAGCTAAACAAAATAAAATAGAATATCACCATAAAGCATAATACAATGCGTATATATATGTATTAAAAGCCTTACCTGCTAATTGCAACCCGATGACTGCAGAATTTTCGATTATTTCATCGGATAGATCATGTGAGAGATATTGATCAAGAACAGATTTGTTAGTTCTCAAACATTTACTACGGTCATTGATAATCTTGGTAGAATTTGTAAATCGATTTTTCTTCCAACTGTCGTTGCCTTTAAAATGGTTTTTCCCTTATAAATATTTACAATCAGAATAATAATTGATAATCTTTTCAAGACAAATAGGATACTAACCATTTAAGCTGAACAAGGTGTTGAATGTCAGAAAATATTATATCAATTATTGGACCCGCAACTTTGAGCGTAAATTCAAATTTTGTTTATTCCCTTCCCTATCTACAAAAACATAGGGATCTACCAGAAACATTTCTATACTAATTATAAAATTAAAATTAGTTCAATACGTGTTGCGAATATAACTGCATAAGAGTTATGTAATTACATAAATAAAAAAATAAATTTTCATGACTTGACGTTGTAAAGTTTCAGTTCGATCTGGGCGTCCCTTTAATTTTTCATACATGAAATCCCTTGCTTCCCAGTATTTATATTCACCGCAAAGCTGAATATTGAAAAAGGTTCAATAAAGCATCCATAATAAACATCCGATCTATAGATCATTTATATACTTTTTCTATTTTTTCGATGTCACTTTTGATTACATCTTCAAGCATCTTCAGCTTGATATTTATCTTTGCTAGCACCTTTGCTTTAAGGTCTAACCATTCCTCACCAAACTATGAATGCATACCACCTGAAAATTTTGAAATGAAGTCAACGATTGAAGAAAGTCTAAGCCTATATAATAAGTATCAATTGCAAAATAAGCAGTAACAATCAAGCGAAGTTAGGCCTGGTGCACATTTGCCTTTCTCAATCCTGTCCATTACAGCACAAGCCTCTTTAATAAGTAAATGTTGAATTGGAAAGGGAAATTTGTGGATTTCTTCGATAATATCGTCATCTACGTCATAAGCAGAGATTTTTTTAATATGAAAATCAAAAGCGACTCTTTCAGAATCAGATCGTTTTTTACAATCCAAAGTAACAATATTATAGACGACACCTAAGATAACATAGAAAAAAAATAATAATTTGCAAAATAAATAACCTTTTTTTATTAATTTATTATATACAAGCATAAATATATGTAAATATTTAAAAGTTTTTTAAGATATTGGGATCCTGTAATATTATATCTAATTGTTGTTGTAATATCTGAGAAATTTCTTCGATATTGTCATTCGTGTATTTAATATTAACAGACAAATATTGTAAAACACTTAGGACACTCCAA